GGGGGGGGGGGGCACAAGTTATAGTATTATATATCGTCTTCTCAACATGCGAGAAATGTATCAGAGAATAAACGATGGAATATTTTACGAAAGCCAAAAGTTCAAATCAAAAATATAATACGACTTTTTGTGATATCGGAAGAAAATACCGTAACGTTAGACTTCAGTGGATTAAAGTACTATGTATTTATAGGTACACAATAAATATAGATTCCATAATGATTTAACTATTTGGCTATGAAATATTATACTTGGCAGCCACATATTTCCAATAACTCTATGTATTTTTTTGAAAACCTCCTCAATTATTTTACAGTGATCTATAACAATTGCTGACGAAAGCCTAGCGTTGTTTTTAGAATCTAAATTTGGAAACGACTCGATTTACATATATATATATATATTAAATACGTAATAATAAATGTGACTGTACTGTAGGTAGGTAATTGGTCAATTTCCTGCGAAATGATCGAATGCAGCCCGTTAATAGTTTCGGATAGTAATGCTCGCGATCCGGAATCCGATACGATTCATCATCATGGAACATATTTCAGAGTCGATTAATCATGAAATTACGGATCGATGATTAAGTCATTGGACATCTTTTCGCGGCAATAAACGATCGCAGGTTTAAAAGGATCCGACTGGACGCACGTAATACGAGCTCGTTTCTCGTGATATATCCATTTTTTTCACGGATCTATAGCTTTTTTGCAGCTTGACGACTCTCGACTGGTTAATTTTAGAGGCGATATCGGTTCTAATTTTAGCCGATTCTTTGCGTCACACCAACCACTGGAATGTAACTATTTTGCATGGTTGCTCGTTTGCGAACATCTCTTTAGAATTTCCTCTGAAATTGGAAGAAAAGGTTTACCTCTGTTTCGACTTTATTTTGAACGCATGACGCGAGATCACTCGTGTTGGACAAGTTCTAGCAACGCGTTTCCACGGCCGCCTCTAAAAATATGTTACAAGAATGATCGTGATACAAAGTTGGCTTCGATAGATACATAAACATAAGATAGATAGAAAAATACAACTGATTGACCGTGTCTGCCAATTTGTCCGATTAAACGAGGAAATCATAATCGTAAATTCTAGGTTATTTTCAGAGTCGTCCAACTGCCATTTTTCAGCGAAGCGCTAGCATACGTTTGATCGTTTCGTTTCGTAAGATTATGGAAACTCGAGAGAAGGTCACCGTAAAATTTAAAATGGAACCGCGAGAAAAGCGTGCCGCGCCGAACATATCACACTCGCCATCTATCTTAGCAAACCGCAACCTAAAGCAACTAAGTCTCTCTAATCATCTGCGAATAAAACGCGATATCGATAAGACAGTTAGTTTTCACAATTTATCACTAATAGAACAAATTTACGATTTATAAAAAAACAGAAATTTGATCCACCCCCTAAATATTATAAAAAATATTTCCTTTGAATATCTTCTATGTTTTTGCACATTTAGGTATCTCATAAATACATAAACACTTATAGTTTAATAACGAATATTGCAATTTAATGTTCTATTAAATACTTTGCCAATTTTGTCAAATAATTATCACTCTCCGTTTATTACAAAAACCGAGATATACGAATATTCGTGTATCGAAGCATTGTTCAACAATAATGTACCGTGACTGTGTTATAAGTACGTCACACAAATATTTTTCCCATTGTAAATGATACGAAATTAGTTTTCACATTTGACAGCGCTGTTAATTGAATCCATTGGCGTAAATGGAGAAGAATAAAATTTTTCCTATTGAAATATAACAAAGAAAATTTACATACCGATTGCGGCGGAAGCGGAGAAGTTCGATTATCGTAGGATCTATAGGCGGTGGTTCTCGCGCCGTTCAGCGATCCATAACCAGGAGTGGCGTTACTACCGACATGATTTCCTTCCGATGACACTGTGTTTTGCAGGTCTGCCAATAGCGCATCTGAAATCAAGAAATAATTGCTGTAAAACGTCGCTGAGAAGTATCTTCAATTATCCCTAATGATTTCAAGAAGGCAATTGAATTATGGACCTCTTTGCAAGAATAAAACAAATTGGCCAATTTCACGTAGAAGATATTAGTAAGAGGCATAGCTTGTTATTTTTCTTCAGATATTGCTTCAGGTGTATCAGAATTTTTGTATACATTTATCGCAAACAGTAATAAAATGGCTGCCTGTGTTGTTTAAATAACGAGAATGGTGTCAACGACACCGATAAGCACATTAAGTTTTCATCGAAGCGACTAACGAGCGCTGCTAACATCGAGTCAGTATAAATTTAGGCAAGTTCATTGGAAAACAGTATCAAGATGAACTAGTTCAGTAAGTAAACCACTTTAACATTGCTCGTTTATTCACACATTTTTATATTCCATGATAAAAACTGTCTTTCCTTTACGATAATAAAATGAGGAACTTTTTTTCTCGCTTACCACCTGGAAATATCGATTGATCATCAACGCTTGCGCTCTATGTGAAGATGTTTTTGCGCTGGAAATATGCACACTCAAATATTTTCGATATTTCATGGCAGAATAACAAAGAAAAAAAGACGATGACGTGAGCGTTGTTTAACGAGCAAAGCTTAGAGATAAGCGTACAAGGTAAACCTCCGTGAACGTCGTAAAGTCACGTATAAAAGAATCATTTACCAAGACTGAGAAGATTTGTTTCCGTTTTCTCGGTATTGTAGGACTCGTAGAGATTATCGGCCCCAGCCTGCGACTCACATCCTGTTTCCATCGCGAGACAAACTGCGACACACCCACTGTTCCGAGAACGTCGAACTTCGCCACCAATTTCCAGTCGAATCGAAAGCAACGCGTGTGGGATATTCGCGAGATCGTGTAGTTTCCACACTTCTATTCGCAACTGTGCAATTACTCTCTAATCGAGAGAGGGGAACGAAACTGATCGACGTCGAAATCGTCGACGATTTGACACTGATAATATCGCAAACCTCGCGAAATTTTCAACTAACGTCCGTGTAAATACTTTATACACGTTCGCCTTTCAGTAATCGCGTGCAACACCAACGATACATTCCTTTCTATTTGTTTATCTCTGTCCAATACTTTCCCCTGGGCGATGTAAAATCACGATATAGAGAACAAACTGTCACGTGCTTATCGGATCGGCGAGATTTGCGCACGTGAACCTGTGATGATCGGCAAAACGGTACTGATTGTCAATCAAGTTCTCGGTAAAGCGACCGGCTTCGAAGCCGGAGAATAGAAGCCTGGAGGAGGCAAGCTGGTCTGGAGAAGGAGAAGGAACAGGAGATGGAGGGAGTATTCTCACAACAAGGGAAGTAGAAACTCGAGGCTGGTTCGCGAAGCCAAGGAAAACCAACCTAGCCAGCTACGAAGAAATGGTTCGCGGGTAGAACCTGAACTAGACAGTTACTTGTGAATCGGATGGATGTGCTCTTTCGCGGAAATTGAAATGTTCCTTGAATTGGACCCTCGATATCGTAACTTAAAGGTTAGAAGACGATAAGAAAACGAATATAATAATTCAAATATTGCGTTCTTGCTTTGTCGATAAAGTAGATCTTTAAGGGAAAGGTGATCAATTTTTATACATTATGAAACAAGAATGTTAATGCAGTAGTATTTTTTAATTAATGATGAATTATTGAGTTTCAGATCTAGTTCGTGTCGACTTTGAATCAATATAACAACGCGTTTGAATGAAATTCGTGGTTGGCAGGAAGCCTACCGAGCTCCCCCGGATCTATTTTATACTGCTGAATCATACAGTCAATTTGGACATTAATATTGCACGATATGCGTAACGCACTTTCGTCATAAATTTCAGGGAAATTGGACACACACGATAATGACTCTAGACACTTAATAAATCATAGAAGTATTACAGTCGCAGGTATTTAAATCAAAATGTTTCTGCTTTCAATGTATTACATCGAATATGTATTATTACTATTAACATCTGATTAAGCAAAACAAAAACGTGGTCGCAAAAAAGCACGTAATTATAATTAGGATTCGATGCAATCATAATTTCCATCGATCTCTGCATAGACAAAGTTAGTGATTACTGTCATTAACTCGCATTACCATTGGCACCAAATTTACTTACTTATATACTGTTCCCAGCGTGCGTGTCGTTGGATCGTTGCCAAACGAGCCGGTGTAATCGGCGATACAGGTCTCGTAATGTCGGTCATAGTCATATCACTGTGTTTTCAACGACATGACACTGAATCAAATGACACTAGAAATTGGAGTTTAATATATCACCGAAGAACAGAATGAGAATTGAAATTTTAAGAGTGTAACCCTTATGATTAACTCGAGAGTAACCTATCCAAATATTGATGATGATATGAAGACTGACCTCCGGTCCTGTTTACGAACAGTGGGACACAAACACAAATGAAGAACGACAACGATTATACGATTCTAATTTGGCTAATATTCGAAAATATCCGAAACATTCTATACATACAATAGATCTCTTCCCTGACAATTATTACTTAGTATGTACTTACTCTTTTGGTACAATTATACACACGTACGGATAAACATTTATCTTGTAGACATAATTATATTATTTAATAATGACGATATGCTTTGACACTTCAGATAATTGTTATTGTATTACAATTAATCTATATGATTACAAAAAATGAAATTAAATTATTTCATACCACATTAAATTATCGCCACGTGCAAGTGTCGAAGGTAATGAACAAACGAAGATATGATGGCTAGGAGGCACGTATGTGTTGCGAGATCAGGTAGGACTGCCAGCACGTGTTTTCTCAGTTTGCATCTACAGAATCTGTGTTACGTGAACCCATCTCCTCCTTCCTTTGTCCCTCTTCTCCTTCCTCCCTCTTTTCAACCTCGTTCTTCGTCTCTGTTTCGCACCTTCTTTCACGCGATGCATATATATGTTTACATCTAGATTCATGACGACAAAATACCCAAGAATAACTTCGACTACCTATCATCTTTTGCCACGGTTTTCTCTTACTATTTTGGATTTTGTACTTCCTTCGGGAGAGCGGTATCTTCCAATCAGAGGATTTACGAATTTGTTCGTAACACAAGAGTAAAAAAATTGTAGATCGTTTTGTGAAAATAGAATGGATCACGTTAATCCTATTCGAGTCATGTATGCCAGTTGTAAGCGTAGGAAGTTAAATCACACACTGTCGTGCCTCATATGGATATGTATAAATCAAACCAAGGTTTGTTCAAGGAAGAGATTCCTACGCACACATTGGATCATTATATGAGCTTTTATGCAATGGAATGCATGATAAATAAGCGCAGTTTCCTGTATCTCTAAAAAAGCTAGTGCATTACGACTAGAAATGTAATAATGCATATTGATGATAACAACTTTCATATTGCTGTTCATTATATTCATCGTATAAACATATACATACATATGTTTGATTTTCTTTATAAAACTCATATAAAATAAATTACTAAATTATTTGGCAAGAAAAAATTGGTAGTGCATATAAATATGCATTTATAAGTCTTTCACATTAGAAATGGAAAAGGAATCTTTAAGAATTAATAATTAATTATGTACATATATAGTGACAGAGGCACTACCGATAAAATTGATCCCTTGTGTCGATACATCAGCACCTTGTCTCCTGTGTGATCAAACAGATGACGCCACTCGAAAATATCGACACAATATTTTTAATTCAAATTTCTTTCGAAACAAATAAAAATGAACTATGTATCACATTCTTTTATAGATTTCCATAAAAAGATCGTCCGTAAATAATGACATCGAGAATTATTTCAGAAAGTTTAGTGTCAAGGCGACCCACATTGTAGGTGAAAGGTATTCCAAAAAAAATGATGTGATCTGTTGCATCATGAGTCATCCCTTCAGTCCGAATTAAATGTGCATTTTAAAAATAATTTAAATCCACATATAGTGTGATTGCACATGCGAAAAAGTCAAAACATGTACACTTTTTAATTTTAGAAGATTTCTTTAAAAAATGTTTCAAATAATAATAATTAATTTTTTTAATTTATAGCAGTAGTCTTTTCATAAATTACGAAAACGATCTGAAGTTTCGTATCTTTAAGGTTGGCTACTTTATATATTAACCTTTGAAAATATGCCAGAGATTCATTTCCGCCAACGATTCAAGACTATTATAAATTTATCAAAACATGAAATGGTAAATTAGTAAGTAGTAAATTAGTTACTGAAAAATAGTAAACAAAAAAGACATGCGTGAATAAAATTAACCCATCCTTTTATATTTGTAAATGTAATCTAACTAAAATGTAAACTAGCTAATTTTAATAATTATTTATATTTATAAAACCATTTAAGGATGGCACGACTAATTCATCCCTTTCAAAACATTTTAACGCACACTATGAACTGACGAAAAATAATACCGTCAGAAGCAATTGAGCTTAATTTGAAAGTTCATATTACGTTATCGCGCAAAGTTGCGTGAACACAACCAACGCAGACATAGATACTAAATCGATATATTAACTAATGTCTCTAATTTTAATTCTATGAAAAGAAAGCATATCAAGAACAATTTTTAATTAGTAATCCAGACCGGTATTCTAATTACATATGCAAAAAGGTCGCATATATGCACGTATGCATCCGTAATCATTAGAAATAATTTCATATCATCGTTCTATTTTAATGTTATAGAACAAAGCATTAAAATCACGCAAAATTAAAAGGGTTAAAAACATAAAAAGAATTATCGACTCACATCCTGGTGGTGAACCTTTTGTGATGGTGATTTTATAGGGCTGATAAATAGCGCTTGGTTCTACTTTTCCGTACATTGTTCGATCCATAGCCATTTTTTTAACGTACCACTTGAAAATATAATCACACTTATATCCGTTTACTTATTTTATGTTAGTTCATACGAAATCACGAATTCATCGCGTACAAGCATGTATGCTATTATGTAGCACTTTTACTGCGGTAATGCTTCTCTTCACTGTCTATCGCGAACGACCGAGCTGTGTAGACGATCGATTAGTGGTGGGGATGATGCACACACCACACGACCACTTGTTGAATGCCGTCTGTGAATTTTATACATACGAATCCACAAATAGGAGAATAATCTATTAGATTTAAAAAAAAGAAGAGAAAAGAGCATCAAGGGTAAGCAACTTTATAAATAGTAGTACGTTTAAATACACGTTTAACGTACGTTTAAACTCACGTTTAAATACACTGCTACAATCAACAGATTTACTCACGCACACACAACGTATTATTGAGATTTTATGCGAGAAGCTGAATGAATACGTTTTTTATTGTCTATGATTGTAGAATGAATTGTCACCGCTTGTTGAAATACAACAGAGCAAGAATCGTGGTATCAATACTCTGTGAATAGAGTGAATTCGACGGGAGGAAAACAAGAAGTTCAAATGTACAAGTATATTTCAGGCGCTCGCCCGCACTCACGACTTCCATCCTCTCCGAGCAATGCTAAAACAAGAGGACAACGGTGCCGTGAAATACACTAAAAATACGTAGAATCGTTGGCACACGATAACCCAGAGCGCACTTGCGATATTATGCGGATTTTGGAAAATCTCTTCCGGTATAAATAAATACACCACGTGCAACCATCCGTGTTCCTCAAATTTTTCGCAGTTTTTTAAATTAACTTAGAAGCTTTTATTTATAGAGGTGCTTAGAAATTCTAATTTTATTAAAAAATAGAGATCATTACATTGCAATTGCGTAATTTTATCTCAAAATGATAATCGATGATAGTAACGCTACTTATTAACATTATAGTTTGCACTTGAAGGTATAAATACGTAATGATATAAACTCATTGCGATCGCATATGATTATGACAAACATATAATTAACACTGATTATATAGATATTATAGTGATGCGTTATAGATATAAGTGATGCGTTAAGCAAATCAAGATGGAAGAATTTGTGGAAAAAGATTTATAATTGAAACCTGTATCGCGATTAATAAAGTTACTGGGGATGAACGAACTAACATGTGATGCATTTAACGGTGACGCAACAAAATGTTACCATGGTAATACAGATAACAGTTACGTACTTCACCTCGCCTGGTACTCGTAAATTCGTAATATTACAGCATGCCATCTATATTTTGCAACTAAATCTAGTCCTAATCAATTTTCATCTAAATACATTATGTAAAATACTACTGCGAAAGGAATACGTATACATAATGATACAACTTTGGTTACAAATAATAAGATGTATACCTTTTATATTTACGAATGTACATATATAAATAATAACAAAAGTGAAATACAATAGAATTAAGATTGTCACGTCATATTTAGATGTATTAGAAAGAAATTGCATTTTTGATTTTCTTTAGCATTCCTTATCAATAATACTTGTTCACATATAAATATTATATTAAGTGTGTGTGAACAAATAAATATACATGTATAATTATAACATCGATTTATTGATATCATATTTGAAAAATTTAAAATAAAATTAGAGAAGTGATATTTCACAATTTCCATATTTTTTAAATTTTTAAAGCAAAAATTAAAGTTAGAACTCAAAAAAGATATAAATAATACACATGATTAGATGATAATATGTTATAAGTATTCTTATAAACATAAATGTTTCTGACAGTATGATCGATTCAAATTTGAGGTTATTTCATCAATTGAATATTTAAAATTCATTTTACTCACCTAGATCATCCATGTTTAATATATATTAACCCTGTAGATATTGTTGCACAAATTACACTCAACCCGTGATAATTTTCAATTAAAATGACGGTAAAAAGTGTCAAAATTGAATGATCAATTTACGTCCCTCAGTTGGGCAATGCAAACATCAAATATGGAGAACCCGGTTCTCTCACTTCATAACTTCCAGCATTCATTGTCTAACCTTTATATGTGTATATAAGCAGATGTATCATCTCTGGTATAATATATTGAACTTTTCATTCGTTTAGAATAATATATTTAAGTATAATTTTTACTGTAACAAAGTAATTATCTGTAATGTCTATGAAAAAAAGAAACTTTTTTTCTTCATTATTTATATACATACATGTTTATAATTAAATCACATTCCTTTCAGTACATTCTATATATTATAAGGGAGCAATATATATATCATAATGGGAGCAATAAAAATATATAGATTATGGTTTAATTCCTTATAGTCATAAAAATTATTTACATTTATAGAGTATAAAGTAAAATTGAAATCTATACTATAGAATTTCAAATAACCTATACTTATTACATAGTTTCTTCATAATTTATATAGCTACCAAGACGAAAAATCACCAAATGAGTTTGTTACGATTTTTCTCTTTTTAATTATAGGTGATATACTTGATTCCTCTTTCTTGATCCTGCAAATATAATTAACAATTAATATTGCTGTAAAAATGTATATATACGTAGCGACAAATATATGTAATGCGATTTTACTTGTCTTCTTCGTTGTTCGGTTTTATATATTTTCCTACGCCTGATCGATATACTTTTAACACGTCATTCTTTCCTGCTTCATTATCTGATTTATTTTTTGCAGCTTCTTGAGCCAATCGTTCAATTTCGGCTGCACGTTCTGCAGCTAATTGTTCATCTGCTTCTTGAAAAGGATCAACAAACACTTGTGCTTTTTGTATTATTATATCTTCTATTGGTCTGTCTTTGTTATCTACTTCAATTTTTTCAATGGCATTTAACGTTTCTAATCCACCTACTATTTTTCCAAAAACTGTATGTTTGCGATCTAAATGTCTACACGATCGGAACGTAATGAAACTGTAATTAAATGGAACGGAATTATTAGATTTTAATGAAATTCCATTTGTAAACGTATGTAAACATGAAATACAATATATACAATTGCGATCCATTTGTGTTTGATCCAGCATTTGCCATTGATAAAATTCCTCTTCCTTGATGAACTAAATTTGGTTTGAATTCATCTTCAAATGTTTTACCCCAAATAGATGTTCCTCCATTACCAGTATTTGTAGGATCACCTCCTTGTATCTAAGTAAAATACAATGTTAACATTTTTATTATTTATAAACCTCTTACTCAAAATGGCCATATATTTACCATAAAATTTCGTATGGATCTATGAAACTTTGTTCCATCATAGTAACCATTCTGACAGTGTTTTATAAAATTTTCACAAGTTTTTGGTACAAGATCACAATGCAGTTCTAAATTTAAAGCACCAAAATTCATGACTAATCTTACATATCCTGAAAAAAAAAGAAAAAATGTTTCAGTCGAACAAAATATAGAGATAATATAAATATATAGTAATAATTGTGTTCATACCTTTCTTTCGAACTCTTTCATATCTTACTAAATCTTCTGCAATAACTGCTGCTTGGTGTGTAGTTTCTGTTGGCATTACTGTTGATGTAAAGCCAGCTGCAACCGCACCAGTGGAGTAATGTGCCTATATTTATATATATATATATAAAATATAACATTTGAAAATATAATATAACTTATATTAATATACAAACCGCATTAAATTTGTCTGCTTTTGGTTTAGAGATTTCTTTTTTAGTCTCAGTCTGTTTATAATCTCTATCTAATTCAGCTAATATTTCTTTAGTTTCCATAGATACAGTTTTCAATTTTGCATTTGGATCATTACGTTCCCTTATCATTTCTAGAATAATTATCAGTATCTATATCATATTTATTCATATTAGTATATATAAAAGTGTTATTGCAATAAATGAAAATTTCTATTTTGAAATGTACTTGTAAGATATTACCTTCATCTTCAAGTTTTATATTATTTTTAATATGGTGGAATGTAGATAAATTGAATTTCATTGCGTTGTTTGGATCTTGTACTATGATAATGTCCTTCCTCGTAAAAGGTTGATCGTTTATTAAATCTTTCCAATTACGTGCCTTTATATTCAACTGCTCTATTGCCTAAAAAAATATTGCTATATATCACGAATAAAAGTTTTCTATCTTAATGAACACTTACCTCATATGAAAATACATTTCCAGTTGTTTTGATAGCAACAATATGAGAGTGTTTAGTGAATAATTTGAAAAGAACTGGGCAATGATACTGTCCTTCTGAATTCTTATGAAAATTAAGTTTTATTAAAGTTTTTGTGTCTAATGGCTTTCCTGTAACTGGATTATGCTTAAGTTTCTTTATATATTCTAATATTGCTTCTAATTCAAAAATGTTTCCTTGTGGATCACAATAAGGGTGCTGGAAAGGTTGTAAAGTTAAACAACAATGATCATAAGGCAAGCGACGAAATGTTGTATCTTCAGTTGCTTCAGAACTTCCAGATTTTTTTCCACCATATAATGTTGTCCATTCTGTATATGTTAAATACCTGGAAGAATAATAAATACAAACAATTTAATTCGATAAATGCAAAATATAAAATTATAACCTAAATAATATTTTTAAAAATCTTACATCTTATCTTTCTGATGCTGACGTTTACCCATTTTGATTGTGTTATTGATTAGTTATCTTTATAAAAGACTTATAATGATTATATCTATTTAATTCAATAATATTTTTAAATTATTTAATGCTTATTTGCACTGACATATACCAAAATAATTGATATGTATTTATACTATAGCATAGTAAACTTCCTTTTCAAGCTTGGCCAACCTGATAAAATAACTATATTATTTTATTACTACATAAAACGTTTGGAATACAAAACTTGAACTTATTTGATACGAATAAAGGCTGAACTTCGCTTTAATGGAAATAAAATTATTGCCTCTTTTATTGCAATTTAATGGTTTTCAATGCATAGAATCCAAAAATGCTAATCTTAATTTATCTAGTAGTAGTTAAGTTATCTAATAGTAGGAATCTAGTAGTTAAAAAGTTATCCGTATATAAAATTGAGTGTTTTTAGCGTATTTGACAGTTTACATTAACATCATGTTGGCTTCTATCTACAATTCGTCCAATGAGTGGAGTCGCTGGCTGTATCAAATGCAGGTGGATGTTAATCATTTTATGGCGAGATTTTGAATCGTGAGTATTGGAATAGGCAGAGAAGAAATTTCCTCCCCGGATTAGGTTTGGATTATGCCTTATCCTCATACAAATACAAACTAATACTCAACGATATTCAATTCAATGCTCATTTATGTAGACCAATTGGATTACGAATAGGAGCAATATGGTGTCATACTAACCTCTAAAATACGCTAAAACTGATGAGTTTTACGTAGGTATAACTCTGGAACCGCTGATTTCTTAAAATTAAGACTTGCATTTTTGGATTCTATGCATTGAAAGCTATTGAATAGTAATAAAGAAATATAACAATTTTATATCCATCAAATCGAAATTAAACTTGAATAAATTAAGTTTAAATAGATTAAAGCAGTTGAATAAAAGTCTACAGAGATGTCTAAGGCAATTAAAAAAGGGAAAATGCTCAAGAAAGTAGTATCAAAGGTAGAACACCCTTCACCTTTACGGGTAACTATACCCGCAGGAATGGCAAATGCTAAACCACCATTGGGATCACAACTAGGACAGGTTAAAATATTTTATATTTAAAATTTAGGGTATTTTACGACGTCGTAAGTTGACATCGTAATTTATTATGTGCGGTAACTGTACTAAACAATCCAACTGTTTTAAGTTTTATAAAAAGTATATAGGTTTTTGATGAAAAATTTACATTATTACTTTTAGAGGAATATTAATGTAGCGAACTTTTGCAAAGATTTTAATACAAGAACTGGGAATATTAAAGAAGGCATACCTTTACCATGTCGTGTTAAAGTCAGATCTGATAGGAGTTACGATTTAGTAATACACAAACCACCAGCAACATATTTCTTGAAACAAGCAGCTGGGATTGAAAAAGGAAAAATAAAAACAGGTAAATGTTATATTGTAAAATATGAATATGTAGATATACATTAAATAAATTATAATATTCTTCAGGGGAAGTAGCAGGAAAAATAACATTTAAACACTTATACGAGATTGCCTGTATTAAAGCAGAAGATCCACCTTTGGCATTATTAAGCTTACAACAAATTTGTCAAATGTTTGTTGGTGTAGCTCGATCATGTGGTATTCAAATTGTACATAAATTAGATCCAGAAGAACATACACAATTTATGAAAGAGAGAAAAGAAAATGTTAAGAAATTCATGGAAGAATTAGAGGCTACTAGAGAAACCAAAATACTTAGGGCAGTTTAAATTAATGTATTAAGACAAATTTACTGTACATAATTAATAAAAGCAAGGTAGTTTATTTAAATACAATCTAATAAGATATTATATAATCTTTTCCTTTTATATTTATCCCAGTTAATATCTTATATAGATTCGTATAATTTCTAGAAGTAATAGCACATTTCATATGTATATGTATGTAAAGATCTTAAAACCACCTTAAACTTTAAGGATAAAATCTTACATATAGAGTCTTATGATTACATAATATTAAATTCTTTGAACCTCTTAAAAGTAATGTCTATTATAAAAATAAATACTAGAAATTAGGAAACATGATGACTTGAGTTTACATTTTTTAACAATTTCATAATGATTATACAAATGAATTTCATATAGTTATAATTTACTGCTTATGAAGCACATGTACAATCGGAACTCGAAAAAAATATTTTTCATCTTGTAAACATATTTTTTTTTAAACATTGAAATCATATAAACAAATACAAGAAAATATATGGTAATCTACTCATTAATATGCACTATTTAGAATTTTTAATATCCTCTAGACGTACGGAGAATTGTGTAAGAAAAATTTATTTATTATTTATTTGTAAAACAATATTAATTTTTCTTATACTGCGTATGTACATTGCGATGCTGTTCGAAGATGCAGTTTTGAAGATCGAAGAATAATGTATCGATGATGTATCGTTAGCGCGGAATAATCGTTTGACGGTTATTAGCTAACTTCAGAGCGATTTGCTGACGTTCTACTCAAAGATGGCGGTGATGAGTACGCCATGTTTTTTGTGATGTTCGCGCATTAGGCAAATTTTTTGAGAATTGTAATCTGTATGAGCAAAATGGCTGATGATGATCTGTGGTTATTAAAGGAAGACGGTTACTTAAATGTGGATACTGAGTGTAAAAGTATAATTTATCATGCTAATCTAAATGTGTTACTAATTACCACTGGCAGTGCGCAAGTATATGTATTTGATGTCAACTCAGGAGTAATTTTGCAAAAAAGTTCTTTATCCGGTAAGCATTTCGATTCGTTTGTTTCTTATAAAGGAGAATTTCATACCCATGATAAATCATTATATTAAAAATCTTGTAGGTAATTGATTTGTAATATTCAATCACGCCTCATGGTCAAGGTCGTATACGCGTACAAAACGTCAGGCGTGACTCAAACTTGTATAATCTCACTGATTTTAATATGATCAATTCTTATTATTAACTAATCGTTATCATTTGTTTGTCACCGTTTGAGATATAACCAAGTTCTTAGAGTCATTTGACTATCTTCTAAACTGTTCCTATTATTACTCCATTTACAATCATGTTTCTTTTTGGGGAAGATGTTTTTGCTATTTGTTGATTGATTAAAGTCTTGTAGTCTTTATAAGAAGTATATCAACTTCTACAATTGTACCAATCATTATGTAATAATAATTTTTGAAAATGTAGATTGTACAAGATATCTATTGATATTTATTTTATAGTGCTACATAAATGTCTTTGTTTTTTGTGTTGTCTTTGTTGATATTTTTAAAGTTCACCTTTGATAAAAAAATAAATTCTGTTTGCTTAATCTGTTTTAATAGATTAAAGTAATTAGATATAATAATTTTTATTTTTACAGGAAAATTAAATGGAAGACTTCAAGGTACATATTTGTCAAATGGTGTAGATAAAATATTATATACAGATGGAAGAGGAATTGGAGTACGTAGTGATTATAATGGTGTACTCTTTTTGGACACTCTTTTACAAACACCTGTTTCAAGAAGTGAAGAAATTGTAAAATTAGAGTTATTGTTTTCTGAAGCTACTTTATTATATCAGTGTCTACGATGTGTAGAGTTACCAGGAATAGATCATGTGCAAGAAGTAAAAGATGAATTAATAAGTAAAACGTTTACAGTAGAAGCAAACCAGAAAAAGGGAATTAAGGCCCAAAAAGTATGTATAACAAATAAATAGATACCAAAAATTTTGAACTACTGAATGAACTAATATTTATTTAAATATTAATTTATCTTGTTCTCAACAGTGGAATACAGTATGTTTGGAACTACCACACAGTTCTCTGAAACTTGTGTGTTCAGGATTAGTAACTGAATTGAAGAGATTAAGCAGATATATTCCGGCATTGCCAATTGCTTCTGCCATTAATGAACGATTAAATGGCCTATTACCAGGTCTGCCATTAGAAGGAGGTCCTGCTGATAAAGCATTAATGTTTAGTGAAGCTACACGTCGAGATACTTTTTCAAAATGGCCACACATGAATTACAAGTATAACACTTAAATCATTGGTTTTTATTGGATAATAATTGAACAGATTTATCATATGTATATTGTTCTTTAGATGGGCTTTACCAGATCAAATGGCTCAGGCTGGTTTTTATCATCAGCCAAATGCAACAGGTGACGATAGGATAATGTGTTTTACATGTAATGTGTGTTTAGTTTGTTGGGAACCAACAGACGAACCTTGGTCAGAACATGAACGTCATTCTCCAGCATGTCCATTTGTCAAAGGAGAATATACACAAAATGTTCCTTTGTCTGTTATCCTTGCTACTGCTCCTGCACGTGAGGCTGGTGATACTGTAGATGTAATTAGCACTACAAATGTCAGTGGCCTTGTAGCTACAGCTTCCAGTGGAGGTTTTATTAATGTCTGGAATGTAACAAATCAATTAAAGGTAATATATAATAATTATAACAATGATAATAGTAACATGTTAATTAATGCTTTTCATGTAAGAGTATTCTCATCTAATGTATTTTTTACAGAGGGAGGTATCATTTTATGTGGCTCCTATAGATCAAGAAATAAATAATAAAGACTCTATTCAGTTTGGTTCCACAAGAAATTTGACATCATATTTAAGGACACTTAATTCAGAAGCAGATTCCCTTTCTGATTTTAAGCATCCAGGTTCTCATAAAGTACAAGTCACAGCATTGTCTGTAGTAGGTTCTCCCATATCTCAAAACAGTGAAGCAAAAATATCTGGTTCTACGCTTTTACCTGTAGAGACATCAGACTCTAAAATCAGGCCATGTGTAGTGTGTGCTGTTACTGTGACAGTTAGTAATCCATCACAATTAAGGACTTTAGAAAATGTGTGGGCTACTTCAGCAGATCTAGCTTCATCATCTCTCGTTCGTGCAATGAACAGTGTAAATAGTGCTACCAGTGACACTTTAGATATAATGAAGGTAGCAGGTGATAAATACACACCATCAAGATTGCACTATTTAGTATTTTATGATTTTCATCACAAAATTGCAACACAATCAATTAAAGAAGATAATACTAAGGATTCTAAGGCTAAAAAGACATTATCTGGAACAGGCACCAGTGCTAGTTCAAACGGTGAACGTCAAGAAAATTTATATCAAGAATTTTTGGTTGGTAAATTTTTTTATGAAGTTCCAGTAAT